GTAAATTTTCAGCCTCCTAGCTTTTGTGGTTCCCGAGTTGAAAGTTGCGGACAAGTTGCTGCGGACACAAACGCATACAAGACAACCCCGTAACAATATGCGTTTTGTACTGCTGTTACACAGCACAAAACGCATAATAAGCCATAGTTACCCAGGTGATTTTATTAAGGCGTAGTGTTTGTGCAGATGGCTAAGTCGGTGTGTTTGTTTGATTTTCGGGCAGGCATTACATAACCGACCCAGAATATACCGTTTGGACAGACCGTTTTTCGCTGATCGGTCAGTTTTCGCCCTTCTATGGAGCTGATTTTGTTCCAGTGCAATATAAAACTGATTTCTGTTTCGTATGGACAAAATTTTTTAAAATTTGCGGAATTAGGTGATGTGTGTATCGAGTTCACTATCAGCTGGTGTTCATAAAACGAATATGGAGATTGTATTCATAAGAAATGTATTAGGAATTTGAGCAGAAATGCATAATTAGGGGTATTTGCATTACTGTAAATCATTTGTTGCAAAAGGAAAAAAGTGCTAGCAGCAGTGAGACGAAGTTGCCGGCTAAACCCCTTCGCCTTGTCCAGTTGTCCCTCGACTCCATGTGATATGCAAATGTCCCGTCTCTTGGTTCAAGTTCCCCCGCCGTCATATTTAATGTAGTGATTAGAAATGAAATAGAAATTATTTTTTGCGTCACAAAAGTTGTGCGGCGGCAACTTGGAGCTGCTGTCGGGTTTTTTCGCCGTTTGTTTTTTATGCGTTTTTTGCTGTGTAACAGCGTTACAAAATGCATATTGTCACGGGGTTGTCTGTGTGTGTGTGTGTGTGTGTGTTTATGTGTTTTTGTGTTCTTGTGTGTGTCCCACATTTTGTCCCGCACTTTCAACTAGGAAACCACAAAAGCTAGGCGGCTGAAATTTTGGTATAGTGTTCCCGCCAGCGGATGACGCGGCAAATTTAAATTCAGCCTTCCCGTGCCCGCGGGTAACTCGTACGGCCCCGTGAAAGTTTTTTACGGGTAAATCAATATCTCAGAAATCACGGAGTCTAGGAGGCTGAAATTTTGTGGTAATAACTCCCTGCCCATGCTCAACCTTGCCTATTCAAATTCAACGTTCCCTCGCTGTTGTTTATCACCTACGGCCTCGTGAGAATTTTGGCGGCTAAGCTATTAACTAGGGGTCACCGAAAAATATTCACCCTTCAAGGTTTCGAATTCATCCTTCATGCGCTGGTGCGTGAAATTTTTAACCATTTTCCAATTGTTGAACTATTTTTTCATAGACAAAATTACAAAGCAGTGAAAATCATTAATGGGCAATCGTTCGATGGGCTGAATTACACAAAACGCATGATCGCACCGGCTAGTCTGGTGCGCCTTGCTATTTATTTTTTTTTTTTTTCTTTGACTTTTTTTTGGTTCTGCGTTGGGTAAGAGCCACCCATTTCGGACAGGCCGCCGGCGCCTCCTCCTTGCCACATATTACGACAAATTGTTTATGGGAGTTTATAGTGTGGGATGTTGTAGAAGTATATGACACAGACACTAAAGTAAGAAGCGGTTGTGACATTTTTTTAAAATCTGCTTTTGAAAAAACCTTTTTTCAGGTAACAAACCACGGGAGTAGTACTGAGCAAATTCTGTATGATTCGTACATCCGCTACGACAATCAGATGGATCATGGCTGGGCGGTAGAAAGCTGAATTCGATGAACACAACGATAACATCAAAAATTGAAGGCAAATGGTACTGTGGTGAAGCGTTCATCGAAGAAGCTGCATAATTCATGTCGGTTACGGGTTTTGATTACAAATGTCGAAAAAAAAAATGTTCGTAGTCTGTATTTTGTTGCTTTACGCCTCCATCTTATGAAAATTGGTAAATCATTTTTGATTTAAATTTCTTAAGTTTCTGTTTTCTTAATTTATGCCCACTTGAAGACTTATATTACAAGAATTACTGAAACCAGTCAGAGTATCAAGGGAAAATCCAGTGTTAATTATGTCCGTACGTCATTGCTTTCGACATCCAAGAAATAAACATGGCTATTTCGGTTCGAGTTTTCAAATTTATCAGCTGTTCTCGAATCATTATTAACTGAATAGCAGGATTTCTCGATAAAAAACAGCCAAGGGAAAGGGCTAATTTCGAACTGGTTACAATAAAGATGGACAATACTTTTTTAGGGTTAAAAAAAAATTTGAGAAAAAACGATGAAAAGCATGTAAGGAATTATTAAAATAGGTAAGAAATATTGCGGTCCATTAAGTCGTATACATTTCTTACCTTTACCACAATTGGACCTCGTCAGTATGACGATTGTGGTAAAAGAGTTTTGAAAGTTAAATAAGAAGGGGACTAAATAAATTAGTTAATGTATATGAAAAGTAAAAGGCAGAATGGAAAGTCGAAGAAAAGTTGTAGAAAAGTAGAGGGAAAAGTTTTTTTTTAGGTCAGCTGCTTGGCCCCATGTAAGTGAGTATTAGCGCCATCCGTACCTCCGAAAGCGTATTTGATAG